ACTATATGTACTTGTTTATTTGCAGTCACATGTAAGTAAGTACAGTACTGTATATAATGTGACATATAAAGTTGTATGATTACCGGTACTGTATCAATTATTTGTTTATTAAAACATTAATATTTCAGTTTATAGAGCGACGCTTTCAAAACACATTGAAGGCGATTATTGTGAGGCTATTCCGTGTATCTAAAACGCCTCACAATAAACGCCTTTAAGTTAAGAGATTAACAAGACGTCTACATTAAACAAACCAAATATGGACAAACGGTTCAAAAACAGAATTAAGAAAAATAAGAAAAAAAATATTGTCAAGTGGCAGACAATACAAGGTCGAGCGTCTCATAGGCGGGGGCACTTAGCTTTGGTCTTCAAGGCTGGCTGGAGGATCCTCAATCACTCCTTCGATGAATTTGACATTTCTCACCTGCGGAGTGAACAATACAAGTAACTCACTATATGAACATCCTACATATTACTGGCGGATAAAATAACGTCGAGTTAGTATTTGAAGAATCAACTTTTGAGTCTATATTCCCTGACAGGTAAAATTAACCAAGTCTATAACAGCAACTTAATAATTCGGGCTTTAGTACCTTTTTTTTTCTGAGTGTTAATCAAAGATAAAAATTATGTTACAGCAGCCACTTGGTCCCTTCAGATCAGCTTGGAGAAATCTGGGAAAGGTTGAACAGTCGAGTGATCCGACACATTGACTCGAGAGAGCTAACATGTTACCCACGTGTTCAGTGGTGGTGAAGGCCACAGCAATCTAACGTCTACTGCCTCGCTTCTACTTCCGTGTTCGGTGTTAAACTTGGTGTTTTATAAGTAATACCCTTATGTTATGAACTGTATCATATTGTAGTAGTAGTACAAGTCATGATGGTTCAAGGTGAGTGTCGCCTGAGAGGTAACCGTAAGAGTATTACAAAAACTTATGAATATATATGTGAGTGTTGTGAGTGTAGTGAAAGTGTTCAGAAACTGCCGCTGCCAGGCACAGTCTGCAGACAAGCTCGTTCTGTGGCACTACCAAGGTTGTAGACAAGACGAGAAAGGTGGCGGTGAACATTTAGATAACACATTAAACCCCACCAAAAGTTATTTTATATGGTATTAAAATACTCTCACATTTTCACTTATAGTTTCCTTTGTGCTGTGTATCGTCTGGAATACGTATACATGTGTTTAATGAAGAAGGTTTAATGTATATAATAGTACTGCAATGATGCAACAAGTACAACAAATCGTACTCCTCGGAAATTGCTCAGATATCTCGGAAAGTAACATTTTTCACACCCTCTTCCCTTATGTGTCCAAGTATACAGTGTACAGTATAGCCTACCCTATAGGATATTATAAGGAAACCCCAACGATCTTCCATCAATTTATAACATCAACATTTACGATATTTCTCTCGTAATTCTTCATTGTTCATAATTAGTGTATTTAAACATCTAGAAAACACAGTTAATAACCAGTAATATAGTATAAGATATTTTAAGGGCTATTTAGTGGCAGATGTAATGCGTTTTCATTAACACTTCAGCCTCATGACCTGATTTCACCCCGTGTGTCGTAATGCTGAACTAAAAAGACTAGGATCATATTTTATTTACTGTTACACCTCTGGATACACAAGTGGCCAGCAACTCGTCAGTATTCACCAGGAAAACGTTTGATACCAAAGGCAGCCTTGTGAGGCCGTTGGAGCATAATGAAACGACCGACTGCAGTAATACCTTGACCTGAAATTGGTTTGATTATAAGATAAGATTATAGTAAGTGGTTATGTTAGGTTAGGCTATCTGTTGAATGGCTTACATGAGGTAAGGTTAGATATTGATTTAGTCAGGTTAGGTGCTATTGATTTAGTTAGGTTAGGTGGTATTGATTTGCTTAAGTTAGGTTAGATTAGGCTAAATAAAGTTAGGGCTTGGTTTATGTTAAGTAGAATCAGAGGTTGTAAGGTTACGTAAAGTTAGATGTGGGTTAAGTTTAGTTAAGTTTGGTGTGGTAAGGTTAGCTTAGGTTTGGTCCTGCTGGTATTGAGGCGCCACAAGTTCTCAGTATTTGATATGACAAACATTGATACTTTGGTGGCGGCCACAGTAGTTTTGTACACGCGAGGGGTCATAAAAATACCACAGTGTGAGCAACTGTTGACTGTATCCTCGTAAATTCATAGAAAACGGAGGATCAAAGACCCATATTGGCTTGGAGCGTGTGAGTTGCGTTCATGTTTTTATATATTTCCTGCGCTGCCTTAGTGACGACATGAGACCTTCCTCCTCAGCATGAAAGGAAAGGTGTATGGAACTGTGTAGAGAAATGTGATGTTTTATGACAATGAAACTCGACCGGTTAAAGAGGAAAACATGCGCAGACTTGAGGATGAGGGAGCTGAAGTGAGAATGATGAGACGCTGAAAGATAGGTGGTCCTGTTCAGAGCTAAGAGAACAGCTAAGTATTGAGAGTATTGGTAAAGTCTTTGCGTAGAGGCAGGCTGAGATGGTTCAGGCTTGTGGAATAAGTAGAGAAGGCCATTTCGTATTGTATTGGAACGCGAGTATCTCTCATCATGTATCCTAGGTTTAATCTCCAACCCGGGACATAAATGAGAAGGGTGTTATCCGTTGTGGCCCAATGATACATGGCACTAATGGCAGGTTTTCTCCGGGTACTCCAGTTTCCTCCAGTACTAACAATGGACAATAATGGTCGTAACAAAGAGCAGACTGAACGGCTAATGAGCTAATTAGTAGTGAAATGATCAATAAAGAGATGCGTGGAGAGGATGGGAACGAAGGGAAGGCCAAAAGTGGCAAAGGGAGAAGCTGTAAGAAATGATAATGTAGTTAGGCACCTGACAGAGACTGCAACAAAAACATACAACTTAGAGAACTGCCATCAAGTAACCGCGGCTAACCTTCCTAAGTGTGGATAATGTCTGTGTGTGTAAACCTTTAACTTTACTCGATGGATTCTAAATTTTGGTTGAAGATAAACAACACTTATATACTTTCAACACTGTATTGGTATTTTTATTCAACAATATTTATACTTTTCGTTTACTTTCTCCGTCGTAAGGATAGTGGTGGAGGGTAGTGGTGGTGGAGGGTAGTGGTGGTGGAGGGGTAGTGGGTGGTGGAGGGTAGTGGTGGTGGAGGGTGGGTGGTGGAGGGTAGTGGGGTGGAGGTGAGGGTGGGGGGGAGGTAGTGGGGGTGGGAGGTAGGGGGTGGAGGGTAGTGGCGGTGGAGGGAGGTAGGGAAGGTAGTGGGGTGGAGTGTAGTGGGGGTGGAGGGTAGTGGGGGTGGAGGGTAGGTGGGGGTGGAGGGTAGTGGGGGTGGAAGGTGTGGTGGCGTGTGGTGGGGTGGAGGGTAGTGGCGGTGGAGGTAGGTGGAGGGTAGTGGCGGTGGCGGTGGAGGGTAGTGGCGGTGGAGGGTAGTGGTAGTAATGCAGGGTAGTTTTTGGTGACTCATTTCCTGGATCATAGAAAATATTATAGCACTATTGACTATTGTTAAGGGGTCTTGTATGCAAAGACTGTATCGTTGGTTGTGTACATAGTTGTCGTTTGCATTATGGACGATAAACTGTTATAGTCCTGCAGCTAATGGGGTGTTTGTGTGTAAAAAAAAAAAAGTACCTAAAATATATATTTGGATTATGGAAACAGACATATTGAAAGATCGGAAAAATGTGGCAACTTAGGATTCTGCCATTATCTAGGCTCGTCCAGTGGTAACCTTGACATCAGTAACACAACTGGTAGAGTGAGTTGGTGTCCATAAAGGAACACACTCGTTAATGGTGGTGATTAGATGCGTGTCTTGTTCTGGTTTCATATTGTAGTAAGTAATATTCTCTCTCTCTCTCTCTCTCTCTCTCTCTCTCTCTCTCTCTCTCTCTCTCTCTCTCTCTCTCTCTTCTCCCTTGCCACTTTTCTGTCGTAAGTTAATGAGGCTGTCAAGGGTTTTCTGATATCTCTTCAAACACTAAAGAGAGAAGGATTATGTTAAGTTAGGTCAAATTAGGTTAGGTTAGGTTAAGTTAGGATAGGTTGTTGGTTTAGGTTAATTTACGTTAGGTTATGTCAAATAAATTAGGTTAGATTAGATTAGGTTTGGTTAGGTTAGGTTTAAACTTACCACCTTTCGTGTCGTGGCCTTCAACGTAGAAGTTTCTTAGAAGGCGGGGGTCTCCACTATGGTGTACTGTCCCCCCCCCCTTCCACCCCAGTACACTATCAGGCTGATCAGGGAGAAGTGTAGAGTCAGCAAAAAAAAGTATTTCTACCTTTGCCGTGCGTAGTAATCTGAAACATCTGGTGGAGACTTCATGCGTATTCCTGTGTATTGATAAGTCTGTTCCTCTCGTATGGCGATGTTAGGATGATCCCATTTTATAATAATTCCCTATATATTTCGTCTGTATTATGTCTTTATAAACCTAGACCACCAGTACTCGGTAAAACACCTTGGTGGGTTTCGTTATTTCTCACAAGCAAATAATGATAACAGCTAATAAAGTCAATGGTTTATTAACACCTTGCTATATCTTAGGGGATAAACAAAATATAAACATACCATATATTCGTGATCTTATTTTATAATGGTTTTCTCACATACAACAACCCTCTTACCGTGTTGCGTAAAGACATGATAATATTAGTTGAATCTTCTACCTTTTGAACATTGTACGAGGGAGGATGCCGTAAGTCAGAGGGGCTGTAACCACTTGGCCGACACTCTACTCGTCTGAAGGTATTGCTCATTTTAGACTCCACTGAACTATGGAGTCAAGATACTTTTTTTTTACTCGCGGACTGTACAGGGGCGAGTCATTTTGGCACCGGAATGTTGTCCATCTATAAATTCTGTTCTATTTTCTTCGTCATTCTCACTCTAGCCTTCCTCTGTGTGTGTGTGTGTGTGTGTGTGTGTGTGTGTGTGTGTGTATGTGTTTACTTTTATCCGTTTTAATTTTTTTCCAGTTTGTGCACAAGGCCTGGTGCCCATGCTGACCCAGATGGTGTCTAACCCGAGACAAAGGATGGTAGTTGTAGCGACCAGATCGTGAGGCCCCACGTCGATCACCTCACCTCACCTCCCAACTCTAACACACGACCTACAGAAGTGTTTTATTTTTAATGGTCCGTCACAGGTCCTAAATACAGGTACCCTTTGGTCTATCACATACCCTAATTCAGGTCTCTCCTTATATCCAAGAGATAGAGGTACTCCAAGGTCAACAGAAGCGCTGAAGGCAGATCTGCCACCTATTTACCAAGATCCTCACTTTGCGACGCGTAGGTACATGAATCCGTCATAGTCAACACACCTGGACTAGACCTTCCTTGGTCATCATAACTAAAGCACATGATCTAGTTCCCCACGCCACGAGCCCCCACACCCAGGGCCTCACATCGTCCCCGACCACCTGCTGTCCCTGACACGGTCAAAAAGAGGTGGAGGATGGCCCCGGGACCCTACGATGAACTTTTGCCTGAGGGGGACCTGGACCACCGCCAGTGTCTCCTGGAGGACCATATCTCCCGCCTCCCACGTGTTACGCCCTCCAAGAGTACAGGTGAGCCGCCGCGTCACACACGCACACATACAATCATGCCCAATCAAACTAACTTAACGCGCTCGTAAAAACACCAAAAAATAATTCCAAAACTCAAGCACCCACAAAAATGCATTACGCACATTACACATCACACACATGCACTACGCATACTACGTATCCAAACATGCACCTGCTTTACACACTACCACACATGGACACACACAAGCATCAAACGCACATTGCAATAAGCACTCCACAACAACAGGACATCCCTTGCATGTTTATATGGTGCCACAGCCTGCACGTGCAGCCTCCCCCTCCCCAACCACAGCCTCCCTTAGCAACCACAGCCTCCCCCAATCGCTCACAGCCTCCCTCCTCCCACAACCACAGCCCCCCCCCCTTCCCCAATTACTCACAGACTCCTCCAACCAAGCAACAGTAGAACAGGTTTCCAAAGGGTTCGTAATTTTTTTACAGGTGATTGGAGACGTAAAGAACTGCATCATTACAGTAGAACCAGAGGTAAATTTTAGCGTATTTTTTCCCATCAACTCATTGTTTCAGTGAGCCAGTTTCGTGTATTGTCTCTGTTTAGGGGACAATTCAAGAAATAATTTTGAAGGATCGAGATTTTAGAGTCTTGTTGCTGTTGTAGTAGACAACTATTTTGGAAGCATAATGTGTTGTCTAATGGTAGACCCTGCTGCCATATGGCATCACAAAAATTGTGACTAAGTCCCAGGTTGCTGATCTGACTTTCTGCCTCATTTACACACAATTGCAGGGTCTCAATTGTTTCTCTTACTATTGACAAGACAGCATATATGTCGTTTATTTATGGTTCAAATAAACACACACACACACACACACACACACACACACACACACACACACACACACACTCACACACACACACACACACACACACACACACACTCACTCTCACTCTCTCTCTCTCTCTCTCTCTCTCTCTCTCTCTCTCTCTCTCTCTCTCTCTCTCTCTCTCTCTCTCTCTCTCTCTTGGCTTATAGACATGTCATTAACCCTCGCCTCCCGCCTTGATTACATTGTTTTGAGTCAGATACAATGAGTAGCCAGGTTCAGGTGTCTCCAGGGGGTAACTGTGTGTGTGTGTCTTATCGTCAAGCCTGTGAAACCAACCCGTTGACCCGTGGACTAGTATGGTCTTGAAATAATAATAAATATATTCTAAATAAATCACATAATATATACCATCCTGCTTCTCTATTTATGTCTCCTGGGGTTGATGTAGTTTGTTCTTTTCGTTTTTCCTCTCTACCACGCTCTCTTACGCCATGTTGGCAAGGACGGAGCAAGCGCTACACTACACAGATTGTTTCAATAGTTTACAGCTCTCACAGGAAAAGAAAAAATACGACAAAATTTTCTCAACTGGAGCTTCTTTATTTTAATTTCTCCGTGACTTCAAGTGGGACGGAAATCCGCTAGCTCCAGATATGAACATTAATGTCATCTGAGGTGCTCATAAACTTTGATTAAATCATTTCTTGCCCGTCTATTGTGTAAGCTAGGCATTTAAAGGCATCTAAAGGCTTTCTAATCTTTCTTGATACGACAGGTACTGAGTGGTGGCCTATTAAACTCGTATAAAAAAACTGTCATCGGATATCAACAAACATTCTTTTATAGCATATCTCGGGAGAGTTCGGTGACCCATTCGGTGTACCTGGGACCTGGCGTGACCCCTTTATTTATATTTTTGTCAGTTACTTTCTATCGAGTCGAGTTTCATAATGTCGTAGTAGTCTTGAAAAAAATCAGTATTTTTATTTATAGTAGCAATGTAAATATGGCGGGATGAGTAAGTTTGTTTACACGCGCTGTGGGGTGAAGAGGCCTCGTGTCCAAGGCTTTGTTATTTTCGGTACAGGAGCCTATGAGCCTTCCATAAAAAGGTATGCACTATTACTATTCAAATTATTCAAAACAGTAAGGGATTATTCACTCAAAATGCATAAGAGGTGTGTTTGTCAAGATAGGCACGAGTATTGTTTAAATCAACTCCTATTGAATGTAAATAAGAATCAGTTTCTTGTGAGGAGACTTGTGAACTCTTCAGATAACCTGCCATAATGTTGTGACAGAAGCGAGTGCGAGTTCATTTAAGACTAAACACTGGCACATGTTCAGAAATATACACTGAGGAGCCCGTACACGTTCTATAAGCCTCTGCCAACAATGCGTATAAGACAATAGACCGAGAATATTGTATTGGGTATGGGACTTGCACAGGGCTTAAGTCTCTCTCTCTCTCTCTCTCTCTCTCTCTCTCTCTCTCTCTCTCTCTCTCTCTCTCTCTCTCTCTCTCTCTCTCTCTCTCTCTCTCTCTCTCTCTCTCTCATTATATTTATTGTGTTTATTATCGACAGAACACATAAGAGCAGAAGATCAGTTGCTGCTTCAGGACCAGCCAGATGATTCCACCATCACCGACGGCCACAGACTACTCACACACAGCGCCCCTCACCATACCTCACACTCCAAGGACGACCCTCCTACACCTGTGAGAGAAGGGGGTAAAGGAAGCGAAGGAACAAAAGGAAGAGATGAAAAAAAGAATAATGAACGTGAGGGAAGAGAAAAGGAAGGAAAGGAGAAAGATGGCGATGGAGAGGAGTATTGTTCAAAGCCTCGAAGTCCCCCGCGCTCTTACAGAGACTTGGTGGCTTACTGGTAAGATCCCTTGTTGTATAGTGGTGTTCCCGCTTCTCCATTCCTTCGTCAGCAGATAGATTCCACACAGGTAATGATGGTTAAGACTTCTGAGGCGGAGTTTTAACGGATGTAAGAATTAGTACAGTACAGCTTTTCAGGTCGAGCCAGTCACGCTCTCTGAAATTACTTGGTCATGTACAGTAGTTTCTGCAGCTAAAATCAGTTTCTAATTTCAGAATCCTCACATTTGCATTTATTACAGCTAAGAGAAAAAGTACAAACAATTACATTTCTGAGGCAAGGATGCCGTTCTTAGGTCCGTGATACCAAAACCACGTAGTTCAACTTCGAAAAAAAAAATCTTATTTGATATCACGGCCGAGTTTAAAACCACGACCTAACAACTGTGAGTAGTTTTTCTTGAATATACCTGGCAGGAGACCAAACAAGCCTGCCAGTGCCAGTTTCCCAAAATATATATTTTTTTTTTAACTAGACTCGCTGTGACGGGGATGCTTCACCTAGATTATACTGGCTAGCCTTTTGCCGTCTCCTTTACCACTGTTTTCTGTTATATGATTGAAAGAGCTGCGCCAGTCTTCGTCAGATTTTGTAGATATACATAAATAGGCCCATGAAAGGTTTTAATCCTCCCCCCGCCCACTTCCTCCACCCACCCCACTCCACCCCATCCCCTACCCACTTCCCCCCCACCCCAACATCCTCTCTTCCCTTCCCCGACCCCTCATCCCCACCCACCTTCCTCCTTCCGCCAAAGAAAACGGGACGCTGTTAATTAAAGCAGAGGGAACTTTAATACCTGTTCAAACTCATTCTCTTTCCGCGCACGTGTATACAACTTAGAGTAAGATCGACATTTTTTCTTCTCCACATTAATTAAGTTTTATTTGATATTGTCAGTCACCAGAGTAAGAGCATTTATTGTAGTGTAGTTCAGTGCAGTACATCACACGGCCTCTACCTCCACATCCACCTCTACCTCCACCTCTACCTCTACCTCCACCTCCAGCTCTACCTCTACCTCTGCCTCCACATCCACCTCTACCTCCACCTCCACCTCTACCTCAACCTCCAGCTCTACCTCTACCTCCACATCCTCCTCTACCTCCACATCCACCTCTACCTCTACCTCCACATCCACCTCTACCTCCACCTCTACCTCTACCTCTAGCTCTACCTCAAGGCAACGAGCAACAGTTTGATTACAGTCTTATTCCCGGAAATATGTGGTAAAAATATTCATGTTGTTATCCCAGAACTGTAAATAATGAACCGTATTTTAGGACGTGGAATAATCAGGAACCTAAAAATATGTTGGAATAAAGTCGATGATTGTGAAGATTTTTTTTTTTATGTTTTTGTTTTTTATCTTTACGATTAAGTTATAAATATCTTCATAAATTCTCAACATTACGCCCAGCTCAGTGTCCGGAAACAGGAACTAGGATCTCTCTCTCTCTCTCTCCATCGTCACTACAGTATTACCTTTCAAGATATTTACCTGTACAGTGTGTTACGTCAATGTTTATACAGTAAAGGTTGTAATACACTTAGACACTTAAATGACTGTAGTGTATTGTTGGTAGCTCAGGGTGCCTGTGATGACGTCATGGCCAGACAGCACACGGGGAGTGGCGGGAGGAACACTTTTGTTAACAGTTCAGGTTAGAGAGATGATTAAGTTGATAAATTATTAAAGCGAGTTTGTAATCCCGAAGATTATATTTTTAAGTCAAATTATTTTTTTATTTGTGAAATATGAATGCGTTCTTCCTATCTATAAGACAATTTATTTTGATGGTTTAGTGGTTAGCATGTCAGATTGGTGATGCTTGGACCATTGTTCGACCCCAAGGCACACTCAGTGAGTTCCCATATCCTGTTGAGACACTGTATCCATGTGAGCCTCTAACAGGATACTGGCCTGCCAGGGCTGCTATATGTGTTACGTGTCCCCTCCGGCCTTCACTACCAGGACATTGGTCAGAATGCTTTGGTTTTGTTATACAGTTTGTTAGTAAATGAGTCCAGTAATATAAGAGTGTGTGGTGAAGAGTGTACAGTACTTAACGCTCATGTTCTTGCCGTGAGCATGACCACTCGGGAAAGGCGGGAAGCTGTTCATTATTGTACAATTGTATAACTGACGCCGTCCGGGAAGTTCTTACTCATTATTACAGCTAAACTATAGTGAGTGACTGTTCTTCTCCCGCCTCGCCAGGTTGCTCGGCTTCTGCAACAACTTCACCTACTGGGTCATGATTACTGCTGCCTACGACCTTCTCAGCGCCGAGTCTCAGGTCAGTTTACTCTTTTATCTGAGACATTATCCCCTTACTTCTTCCTTCACATAACCTACGGAAAGATCCTAGTGAGAGTCCCCCCACACATCTCCCCCTCATCATCGAGACACTCCCAGGTCGGTGATGGATATAATCTAGAATATATTTAATAAAGTACATAATCATAAAGTATTTAGTGTGATGAGGTTAATTAAAGTTTAATAAGATATATTCACGTTAGGTAGGCCGGTCGTAGCTAGACATGCCTGGCCGTGCACAGACTTGAGAAAGTAAGTCAGTGTACCTAGCGGGGTAATTATTTGATCACAAGTAGAAATGATTGTTTGACCTACACCACGTCATGGTTCACTAGGAGAGTTCATTGACATTTGACGGCACCTAAACAGACATACTAACTTATTATGGGAATTTATTATATCCCTGAACGAGTTGTGGGACATAATAAAATCGCGCGCGTCGTCTTGTCTGTCTTAACTAGGATGACGCCTCAGAGTGACCTCTTAACAGGAGAGACAGATCTTCTTGAAGCTTGATGAACGCGTGTTGTTCCCTCCAGAGCTCACACGAGTTTGATTAAGAGATGTGATCCAATTATTACAGACCAGACGGACTTTATAAGACGTTCACGGATATGTCACGTGTTACATTTGTTAATACAGTACACAGCTTAGCAACTTTGTAGTAAATGCTGGAACGCTGGAAAGTTTTAAAAGGAGGCTCGATAGATTCATGGATGATAGAAAGTGGTTGTAACTCTAGACAGGAGCTGCCATGCACAGGCCAACCGGCCTATTGCTGACCCCTTATTTTCTTATGTTCTTATGTATCCAGACTTCAAATTTGACCGATGTAATCTTTCAGTTTTTTTAGATTTTTATTAAAAAACTCTATGGGATTTTTACAACTCATTCTGCAACGCTGCATTTTTAATCTTTTAGTTTTATCCTCTTTACCACTGATCGGCTCGTTAGCCGCTTGGACTGTCGGTTACGTCTCTGTTACGCACTGTTGGCAAGTAATGGGCATGCACTGGCTCCTGAATGTATCTGAACCTGCTCCAGTGCTTGTCAAGTCTTGTCTTGAAAGAGCTCACACTCGGTGCCGCCACAACTCTCTCTGGCAGGTTGTTCCAAGAGTTCACAATTCTCACTCCGACAAAGTTTGTCCTCTCAGTTTTCTGGACTTGTGACTTCTTCAACCTTGAGCTGTGACCCCTTGTGGGGTGGGCGTCCGCCAGCTCCAGGTATGGACACTCGACTGAGTAGTGCCCTTTGAGATGTTTATACACCTCAATTACCCCCCCCCCCCTCTCTTTGCTCGCCTGTAGTATAAGCTAGACAACTGTAGGCGCTCTAATCTCTCAGGGTAGCTGAGGTGCCGAAGTGCAGGACCAATCTGGTGGCCCTCCTATGGATATTTTCAATCAACTGACAGTCTCTAGCATATCGCGGGGACCAGACGGGATGTCAGTACTCCAGGCAGGGAAGCACCTCACTCTTAAAGCGCGTTACGAGGGACGGACCGTCTAGATATCTGAAAGACCTTCTTATAAGACCTGCTAGCTTAGTTGCCTGGTTCACCTTCTCACAGTGGTCCGAAACTTCAGATCATTGTCAACATATTCACCCAGGTCCTTTTCACAATCGATCACCTGGCTAATGCAGATTCTTCGTCCCGTTGGAAGTATAGCTACGTACAGCATATTGCATCTGAAGATTAGCCACCCCAGCTTGTTTCACCTGAAGATTAGCTATCCCAGCTTATTTTACCTGAAAATTAGGCACTCCAGATTATTTCGCCCGAAGTGGTGTTAAATCCCCCCCCTCTGCCACCCTCGACTAAAGTTGTCACGCTCTTGTCTCTGAAGCCAGACACAAATATGCGTGCCTTGTTGACCGGGTGTCAAGGTCAAACTGTTGTGGATCCCCTCTCATATAGGCCTCATAAAACACGACAGAGTTGATGCCCTCGCCAAACTCGCGTCTAACAAAGACACCGTTGAATACAATTTGGGTCTGTCAAAAAGAACCCCTAAAACTGTAATTAGGAAAGAACTTATGGATGAGTTTGACGCAAGTAGACAAGTGCAAACAGGCACTAGTCGATCCATAGTTTACCATGATGAGATGTATCAAGTGAAACATGTATATGGAGCAAGTAACAAGATCACTAGATTACAAGATGTTGTTACCGCTAGATTAAGGTTAGGATATAAGTACCTCTGGCAGTATGTTCCTCAAGCAGATGTAAACAAGACTAAATGTAAAGTGTGTGGCCATACATATGGCCACACACTTGAACACTACGTCCTCGACTGTGTGAAGATAGAACCTTTTAGGGACAGGTCCAAGCACACTGTGTGTGGAATGACACCACACTTCATCTCTAATGGCAAGATAGCCGATATATTAAGATTGTATCCACTTTTTTGCACTTAGTAACTATATCAGTTCTCGTGTACAGAACCAAATACACAATGTGCTTGAATACTTCTCACGTAAATGTGAATAACAGAGTGTGAGGCCAGACATACTGCCTCACACGCCTGTACTCACGCATTTGTGAATAAGTTACCCTTTATGTATAGAACTCAACAAATAATGTAATTGAAATACTGTGTAACATTCAGTGCCATAATATCCTGACAACGGGGATTAATTATTATGACCCGCTGCAAGCTCTACTCTGTAATCCTTTCGCGCTACCGCTCACAGGTTGAGTGTGGGGTGCACAATAAAGTAGCCGCTATTAGCGGCAAAATCAAAATCAATGCCATTAGAGAAATCTAGGGTCCCAGTTCTCCAAGTTTCGTACAATAAATATTCATCGTTAATGAAGGAATAAGACTAATGGTTGAATGATTTAAACACATCAACATCTCCCCTGACAGATACGTTATCATCAGTTTTGTTGAGCTGCTGTTAACATCTAGTTATGGCAGTTTTCATATAATTTTGAGGCTACAGGTATTTTGGACATTATTTTTGTTTTAACTTTCAGACAAATTAGTTAGATACACTCTTTAACATCATCAGTTTCGAGCACCACTGTTTGTGAATTTTGATAACGGGATCTCTAGCTCAGGTTAAGTCCGATACACGTATTTAATAGTCTGTCTCTCAAGGCTTTTCATAAGTGTAGTGTTTCCTCACATCGAATACTGTGATTGTGTTTGGTCTCCGAGATGCATCAAGGAGCGCCATAAATCCGGTGTCGACGCTTTAGATTTTTGTGAGCACCTCAGAGCCAACTGTCCACATATCATGAGCCAGTGGTCACAGCTTCAACCTAAAGCAATCGGTATAGAAAATTGCCAAGAGCTAACATCTGTGGAATAAGAGTTGCCAGAGAATGTTGTGGCAGGATTCGGTGTGAGTTCCTTTAAGAGAAGACGAACACAACACTGGCACTTGTTCAGGTACACTCAAGACCCCGTACAGTACATACCCAATACTTGCCAACAGTGCGCGTAACAGAGACCATATCGACCGCCCGACCGGCTAGTAAACTGATCACTGGTGAAATTGTATATTAAAAATTAAGACAAGGGATTCTGTCTGTTGTGGACTTGGGTGTCCATGAATCAGAGTCCAGAGTCACAAAAGTTCATACGATAATTATTGCTGATAACTGAAGCTATAAGAATACACCCAACTGGTTGATTTAAGCTGATGCACAAAAAACACCAAAAAACGAAATAGCATGAGAATTATACCAAGACCTGACACTGTAACAGAGGAAAAGGTAAAAATAACGTACATTAAATTTTTCTATGTTTTGTCTATGATTTTGGGGTTACTTTTAAACAATATCTCTGGCCTTGAAAGTCAGTCAATGAGTCGGTCAGTAAGGTACATTCTCACATTTTCATTTACGAGGAATACTGGCGGCACAGCTGGTCTCCGGTCAACACAGCGCTCAGTAAATATATATACTGTGCTGTAGTTTCCTTTTAGTTAACAACACGATTGGCGCTCAGTCAACACTTCTCAGACGCTGTACATAACGTCTTGTTGTTGCATCAGAAGACATTACCACCTTGGAATACATTTAACACAAGCAGGTGGTCACAACAAAACACTTCTGGTACCATACGTCGGTTTTTTTCTTATGATAAAATCTTTAGAGAATAATGTAACAAGATATAATTCTATATATTTGTGGAAAATGTGTACCAAAAAATCCGGAGCCATATTTTGTAATTAATAAAAGTTGATTTCTCTGATACTTAATGATATTATTTTTTAAGACTTATTTTTTCACGTGTAAAAAAAAGGAACAAGAGATCAATCGGGCTTGAGAGAGACTCATCTTTTAATTCCTTACTTAATAAAGTTTGTCTACAGCCGAGTGGTAAAGAGGTGCCTTTGGTTCTGAACGTTATTTTAACTTGAGTATTACATAAGAACATAAGAACATAACATAACATAAGAAAATGGGATACTGCAGGAGGCCGACTGGCCCATACAGGGCAGATCCCTTTCACACCCATCCCAGCACTTCCATGTGCCTATCCAACTTCGTCTTGAAGCTCCCTAGCGTCCCCGATCCTACTATAGCACTCGGTAGCCTATTCCACATATCCACAACTCTATTACCAAACCAGTGCTTGCCTATATCCTTTCTGAATCGGAATTTATCTAATTTAAAGCCATTTGTTCTAGTTATTTCGTTATTACTGAGCTTCAGAACATCTTCCATTTTACCCTTGTTAATCCCACTTACCCACTTGAACACCTCTATCATATCTCCCCTAACTCTACGCCTCTCTAATGAATGCAAGCCTAAGCTTTTCAGTCTTTCTTCATATGGAAGGTTTCTAATATTATGGATCATTTTTGTCATTCTTCTTTGTACTCTCTCCAAAGAATCTATGTCCATTCTATAATAAGGACACCAGAATTGAACCGCATAATCCATGTGTGGCCTCACTAATGCTAGGTAAAGTTTCAAGATAACGTCAGCAGTTCTGTTACTCACACTCCTAGATATGAACCCAAGAATCCTGTTTGCCTTGTTGCGAACGCTAATACATTGTTTTCTAGGTTTCAAGTCGTTGCCAACAAATACACCTAGATCTTTTTCACAATCTGAATGTTCTATTTCCGTGTTACCTAGTTTATACTTAACGTTTGTATTCGTCTTCCCTATCTGTAGTACCTTGCATTTATCAGCATTAAAATTCATTTGCCAGTCTACTGACCACTCATGTAAGGTATCTAGATCTCTTTGAAGGTGTTCAAAGTCACTGTCTGAATTTATCACTCTCCCCATTTTGGTATCATCTGCAAATTTACTAATCCTACTAGTTATACCTAAATCAAGATCATTAATGAATATAACAAACAGCAGAGGGCCTAATACAGATCCCTGGGGAACTCCGCTTTTGACCGCACCCCAGTCTGACTTAAATCCATTTATGCTGACTCTTTGTTTCCTACCAGTTAACCATGACCTAATCCATTTTAATAATGATCCACCTCATGAGGGACTCTATCGAATGCTTTACTGAAATCTAAGTAAATTATATCATATGACTTATCATTATCTACCGCTTCATATACTTCTGAGAAAAAGCTAAGCAAATTTGTGAGACAAGAACGTCCCTGGGTGAACCCGTGCTGAGAAGAATGAATTAAGTTGAATGTTTCAAGGTGGCTTCTGATTTTCGTAGCAATAATTGACCCTAGCAACTTGCCTATGATTGACGTGAGACTAATGGGACGGTAATTTGATGCAATTGATTTATCACCTTTTTTGAAAATCGGAACTACATTTGCAAGTTTCCAAGCTTCTGGCATTAGGCCCGATTCTAATGACTTATTAAATAAAACTGCTTATGGATTACTCAACTCATCTCTACATTCTTTTAATATTCTAGCATATACCTCGTCTGGACCAGGCGATTTATGAGGCTTCAGTTTGTTAATTACTTTAAGCACATCGTTACTAGTAATATTGATATTCATCAACATATTTTCTATTCTGTCGTTATATACCTTATGAACTTCTGGAAACTGTGCTAGGTTTTCATTTGTGAATACGGAGCGAAAATGACTATTTAACGTACTACACATTTCTAACTCATCATCATCAGTATTATAAAGTGCTTCCCATCCAGTACGTAACTTAGTGTATTATTTAGTGCACCTTCTTTTGGTGGTCAATATATACATAGAATATAATAATTTCTATACATTACACATGTATTGTGAGAATAAATATTTCTACATGACTTAGATATCGCTGAATATCACACACACACACACACACACACACACACACACACACACACACACGTGTGTTTATCAGTCTGTGGGTGTTTATACCATAACACCTGTTACTGAGTCAGTAGTAGTAACTGGTCATTTATGCCCATCGTTTTTCCCGGCAGTCTTACACAGAACGCGCCCAGCACCACCCTCACCACGCCTTCCTCAGGAACCTGAGTGACGTCACCACATATTCTCCCAGTGACATCATACCTGTACTGAATGAATCAGCGGACACCTTCATCAGCACCTTCAAGTGCCTGAGACACTCTACTGGGGTAAGATAACCCCGTTCTCTGTTGTATATACACGGGGGACGACAGAAGCTGATTCACTTACACAGTTAGCAATTTACTGCACGACCTATAATGATGTTTATTCTCACTATTGTATATAATTTCTTTCAATTTATTGTCTTATATTCTGTTCTGTGAGCGTATCTGGGGACCCAATTTTATTGTACACTAGTAAGGATTCTTTCTTCCAGTGTTTACTAAATGGTGTCGTTGCCACCACCCAGGCCAGGTGTTAAGTCAGAATATAACATTAACAGTAAAACCTTTGAATTAACCTTGGTAACTGGCAGAGGTCAAGACTCGTGATATATAAGCAATATATTTTATATAACCTAATATTAGAAGGCATGAAGGGTGATACACAGATTATATTTATTTACTATTTATTAAAAGCGAGTGTTGTTACTATGAACATTTTGAATCTTCAATTACAAATGGAAGGAACTCCCACATGAGGAACAATGGAGGGATCCTACACAGGCCACTGACCCCCTTCCCTCGGCATAGCCATTAGGTAAATGAGGTAAATAACCCTTTGGTGGATTCTCACATCCGGAAGTGAATAAAATTATCGGACAGACCATTGTGATTGAGGCTCCTGTACTGTACAATCATCAATTAGACCAAGAAAGTTAAAAATTACACAGAGAAGGTCAGCCAATGTCTTATTTGTTTAATTTTCAACTTTATCTAAGTTGTGATTGGCTGAATTTCTGTCATCCAAGTATTGACTGGTGATTTTATTCGTAAAACAGAGATTAAGTAAAACCTAACGTAATGACCCTGGGCCAGGTTTAGTCAGGGTGGTTATGCCAGGGTAAGGCGGTTAGTATTGTTCTACTAGTAGCCATAAGTGTCCCCAAGTGAACCTAACCTAATCAACTTATTTAACAAAATTACTATATACTTACCTGTAGACTTGGTTACCTAATGTTTTACTTAGTTTCAAGTTTCCTACACAAGAGTTCAGCTAATCAGCACTTTAGCGTAAGAACGACAAAAATTGTGCCAACCTGAGTGAGAGCAGAGCAGCCAACAATACCATATCTGCACTTGGCTGTCCAGCTAGGACAAGATAAGACTCTAATCATCCAAATATTTACAACTCCGATTTTCTATTATTTTAGTCATTAATTTGCATACTAATTTATGCATGTAACCATGTCACATGTGATGACATATTTCAACAATATAAATTATATAATTCCATATTGTCATACAACGTGAACTAGCGTTCTGTGATCCCACGATATTAAGCAGGATGCATGGACCACATGATTAGCCCCCAGCTTCCTGCACCTTGGGTCTTAGTTTAGATTGGTCGGTTACAATTACTGTACTCGTTTATGTCGTACTAACATAACACAACAACTTAAGAGCGAGTTGGAGATTGGCTGACGTTTGGTGATTCTATACCTAGTGTGATTTCTCTCTCTTTACGCAGTACAGTATTTACAAGTTATAATACTATACATGTTAAATGTGGTGAGAGAATATATTTACATTTTGTCAGAGGTCAATATGCCCAACTTTAGAAAACACACCGAAGCGCAAGTCGGGATCAGCGTGAGAGTTGAGACGCTTGCGGAGCGGGTTGACAAGTGACAGGTAAACAAACCATCGAAATCAATGAACAGCCCATCAGGCTCTATGTCTAAAGTTGTATGTGATATTAAAAGGAATGTGATAACTGCCAGTGAGAACAACTTTTGTATCGAATTTGTGTGGATTCCGCGCCATGTTGGAATTAGGTATCATGGCTGTGCTGATTGACTGGCCAATGAGGCATGTAAGAAAGAAAATGTTGACCGTGACCTTGGCCTGTCCAATGTGTAATTAAAAACATTCAAGTCAGAATCATGAACTCTGATCTAGAAGAAGTGAGAAATGCAGACAGACCTGGCAGTTGTAGCATTAGTAAATATGACAAATTTTGTGACAAGAGGTACCGGTATGGCCAGCATAAGGACAGAACCAGACAATGAGATGTAGTCGTGGCCAGAATTAGGCTAGGATACAGACACATCTGGTAAGTTAGTAACGCTGTACCCATACCGGAACACTCAGCATGTAAACTTTGTGATAAACCTTTAAAGCATACACTTGAACACTATATTATTGAATGTGAGACTGTCAAAAACTTCAGGCCACCTGACTTATTGTATCTTGAACTATGTAATTACTACATTGAATCAGGGGTGCTTGAGGACATTCTTGCTGTTTATCCCAAATTTGCTAGCCCACACTGATTAGTCTTCAATTAGAATATGACTCCAATGTATGTGAACCACTGACCTATATATACTGCTAATGAATATGATGTATTTCCTACTTTGTGTACGAACCTCTGTCCTACATGGCAGTGAACAGTGGCATTACCCACATGAATCTGACCTATATATAGTGTCAATGAATATGATGCATTTCCTTCTTTGTGTACGAACCTCTGTCCTACATGGCAGTAAACAGTGGCATTACCCACATGAATCTGACCGATATATATATATATATATATATATATATATATATATATATATATATATATATATATATATATATATATATATATATATATATATATATATATATATATATATATATATATATATATATATTTACCATAATTATGGTAAATATTTTATTTCTTTACCTACAAAGGACATAGAGGCGTGAAATTACTGTCATATGATCAGTGTTCACAGTGTTTTTACCTCGTTATTTCCCTCTTCTTTCGTGCCATTCCCACTAAAACTTAATTAATTATTAAAGGATAGGCTAAAAAGAAAAATTACAACAATGTTGTCGCTACGATTTTGCTACTACACAGTACTCGTTGTCATCCAAAAAACATCTGAAAATTTTGGTGCAATTCCATAAAGTCCTTCTGGTGTTAAGAGTCTCCTCCACCTTTACACCTTAATTTAATATAATAAAAGTTATTTGTTGCCAGTTTTTCAGAGTGATAAATGGCTAGCACTTGAAGTGACTGTAAATGATTGTGATCATGGACAGAATTAAGTCATAGATACGATCCAACGATACAGTATATGAAAATTGAATTACTGTATAAGTCTAGTATAAGATACTGTACTGGCATACTTATAATTAGAATTATATTAGTTGTTTTAGAGTATGAGACAAACTATAGACATGTACCATAGGTTGGTCCGCTGATGATTCGCTTATTTTTGTGTTTCCAGGCCATCCTGGTGGCTGACACGCTGCCAGGGACAGCCTTGACTATTGCTGCACCCTTGACCCTGCTGGTCAGTGTGAATGTGCGGGTGTGGCTTATTGGTAGTCTCTGTGTTGCCTCTTACCTCACCCTGGGCCTCGCTGCCTCAAAATTTGTTTTCTTGGGCGTGGCGCTGGCCTCGGCTTCACGGGGCTTCTCAGACACGACCTTCCTTGGCCATGCATCCCACTACCACAAGTAAGGGAGGCTTCCCTAAAACATAGATGATGAGAGAAGTATTTAATGTTGTCCATACATTAGTGTAATCTGTGTGACTAATGGTATCAAATTGGTGTGGACATAGTTGTTTGAACTATGAATGGGTGTTGCTGCAAGGAGAAGCAATAGGAAATTTCCATTTGGTGTAGAATCCATAAGAACATCAATGGAGGATGAAAGGAAAACACTGAAGGGGTCCATGTAGTGTCTTAACAGTATCTTATGTTTGGCATTGTGCTTTCCATAAGAAGTTCAGATCACTCATCTTGAGAGACGTGATTTTTTTTTTATATTCTGAAAAGTAACTGAGAGATGTATGAATTGTACTTGACAATTAGGACACACACAGTGACAGCATACATTAGTATACATAAGGTTGTATGGAGAACGAGAGATATATTTAAAAGTTGTATTGACATGAGAGGGAAGGTATAAAAGATAAAGGTGAAGGATGTTTCTATATGTAGTGCTTCATCATTGTATTGAAGACAAGACATTGAATAATGAGTAAAATATTATATATATATATATATATATATATATATATATATATATATATATATATATATATATATATATATATATATATATATATATAATTTTTTTTTTTTTTACAATTTCAGTGATCTGTTGATTTCAAGAGAGATTGTGACTTTTAGTTAGGTTGTAAAATGTTAATATGAAATCAGAGCTAACAGTAGAAGAGGGATGTAGTGGCATTCTGTAATAATGCATGTAAGGCTTGAGGACCTAATATTAGAGATACAGTATATCCCTGTACTGGGTCGATGAATGCTGCTACCTGGGTGACTTGATCAGTGCTGATAATGATACTGAAAATAGCTCAGGAAACTGCTGCCTTCATTGGTGGCAAGAGAGCCTTCTCCCTGTTAAAGAAAAGATGTATGCAATTGCCATGAGAAGTGTAAAGTCGTATGGCAGTGAAACGTGGACATTCACAGGCTAGAGCCAGCTTAGGTAAGAATGGTGAAGTGGATGTGCGGGGAGATATGATAGAAGTATTTAAGTGGGTGAAAGGAATCAATAAAGGGGATATAGATAAAGTTCTTATAATATCCGAGCAGGATAGGACTCGGAGCAACGGATTTAAGTTGGATAAGTTTAGGTTTAGGAGGGAGATAGGAAGAAACTGGTTCACTAATAGGGTGGTGGACGAGTGGAACAAGCTTAGCAACTTTGTAGTAAGTGCTGGAACTCTGGAAAGTTTCAAAACGAGGCTAGATAGATTCATGGATGATAGAGAGTGGTTGTAACTCTCGACAGGAGCTGCCTTGCACAGGCCAACCGGCCTATTGCAGACTCCTTATTTTCTTATGTTCTTATGTTCTTATAACACAGAAAGATGGGAAACACTGCTCAGAGCTAAAAGGGCAGCAGGGTACAGTATTGAGAGAGTTGGCAAGGCTTTTTGTTGAGGGAGGAGAAAATGGTTTGGACTATGAAAGGGTTGGAGGAACCACTTGGGCCAAGAGATGCACGAGTAAATATGGAGGGGAGGAGATCCGGGGGTAACCCAAGAATGACATGAGGAGAAGTTGTAAGAATTCACCTCAGATAATAACGGCAGTGTTGCATTCTTCTACTGCTTCAATGCCAGTAAAATCTATTGTTATTAATTAATCTTTTTTTTCTACTTCTCTTGTTAATGACTTCCTAATCATTCAGTGTTATCCATCTATGACTGTGTGGATGTTGCAAATGTATGGAAAGGAAAATATCTGGAAGTTGAAAGAAGCAGGTGAACTTGCAGAGCGAAAGTTGGTACAGTATTATCCTAATTACAACTTTGTCTAATTTTTAAACTTGAGTCATTCAACTGATTTAAAACTGGTCCTGTCTAATAGATTCAGTGACAGAGAGCTTTCTTGTTATTTCTGTTGGGCGTTGGTTGTACTGTAACCTTTTCATGATTACAAAATGGACTCTGTACATTTAGTATACACAGCGCTCCTGGGGTCGCTGGAGTCACCTGGGTCTGTCAGCAATCTCACTTTTTGTTTTAATTGTCCAGGTATCAAGGACTGGCATTATATAATGTTTGGAAACCCCTGATGTAGAATGTTAATAATAATGTGGATCGGCAGGCACGTGTTGTCGCTCTGGTCATCAGGAACTGGTGTGGCAACGTTCATGGGACCTTTGTTGTACTCTAGTATGACCACCGCTGGCTTGGACCCTCGGCACTCTCTCCTTGTCTTCCTTACTGTCCCTGCCCTCATCGCCATCAGGTAAGTGATATACCTGTACCTCCCTCGTTAATATCAGGTAGGTTGTGTGGTTATCACTATACACCAGGTCACACACTGTTCTCACCAGTTTCATGTAGGTTACACCTTCACCGCTTCACCACTCACAAATGTTCACAAAAAGAGCACAAGTCCTCCTCCTCCTCCACAGAGTATTGTGTCACGCAGTTTAATCCATTACAAAGAGGTTCCAGGATTTTTTCTTAATATTAGTACCTTCAGATAAGTTTTTTTTTACATTTTTCTTATTCATTTGTTCCCATTCAACTGACTTGAGGCTTTAGGTCATGCCTTGTTCATAATCTGCATCAGTTCATATAATATACTCTGTACATTTTCTCTCAGGTTTTCATAACTATTGGGCTGTTGGTCTGTTGGCTCAGTATCTGAATTGGGATGAATATTGACCGTCAACAAGTTCTTGGTGACTGCACAAGGGCGAGTCACCTATCTCAAAATTAGCCCTACAGTTTTGCCCTCTGAAGAGTTGCTTGTTAATGCATGATTGGTGAAACAGCCCATTAGGGTCAGTGGCAATACAGCACACTGTACACTAAGTCTTCACTATATTAAGGAGTGCGGTCATCACTGCACTCTACCATTTTCTTTTACCCAGCTGTAAAGTTAGGTACCCATTCACAGCTGAAATATCTGGGGATACCCTCCGCATACATCAGTGCCCCTCACGACAGGAGGCGAGTACTGTGTTCACTGCATTAAGGAGCGATTTGTAGGATTATTTAACTCCTCAACAATCAAGATTATATTAATGTAAACAATGTGATAATAAAACAGGTTTTTAATTTATAGAACAAATCATTTACAGGTTTTTATGTTTTGCAGTTTCTGGTGTGTGTTGAGTCAGCACAAAAAAGAACACGAGGGCAGCGACGTGGAGGTGCAAGAGGCTGCAGGGATAAAGTATGTTGAGGACATGGAGAATGAAAAACAAAAGAGGATGGTTCTTGTTAAAGAGAAATTCTTTTTGTTTTTGGTGAGTTCAGTAGTACAGTACTGTAATACAATCTGATATTACTGCTTACAATTAAAATCTATTTTATCTTTATATTTGAAGAGATGAATAGAAGTTACCGTATCTGTATATTGTGTAACAAATAACTACCACGTGCTTTAAAGTTGGCTCACTTCCTTCTATTATGGGTGTGAGTCAGAGTTTGGTCAATATTGATTATCCAAATGGGATGCTTAGGCTTATACAGTATAATACATTGGTCACTCACTGTACATCATGAAATGATTCCTTCCATATTAAAAGAAGTGAGAACAGAGTGTGGCAATACTGTATACCCACACTGAGTAGTTTTCTACATAGCCATCAGTATTTGCATATCTTTAAACCTAATTTTATTTTTTTCTGTTGCAGAGGGCACAGAAATATTTGTTACCACTGGCCGTCTTTTATTTTGTTATGTACATCACCAACCAGGGGCTGGTAAGTTCATTAATGTTTCCTCCTGTTAATGAAAAAATTTAGCAATACTGTATGGAACAAGTGTAAAATAATGCATCTTCTATTTATTCTTCAAATACTGTGCCAGTTAGTTATTGCTATTAGTTTTCAGCATCAAATCCAGTGTAAAGCAACTCATAGATTTGAGCGTAGCTAAAGATTACAGTCGTGTCAATTTGTGATTTTATGTCTGAATAAGTTAATTTCTTTTCGGTCAGAGAATATTAAGCACAATTAAAGGTAACGTTAGTGGAACTTTTAGGTGTTTACAATCCAGTAAATGGTTGCCTTCCATGGTGTCAGTGTTGAGGTTTTAAGACTTGAAAACTTTCACCAATGTAGTCTATGTTCCATCCTCTGAGTTCGCTGGGAAGACGAGAACAAATGCCATTATTCTCGCTGACACCAACTGTAAGAGTATTGAGGCTACCATTATCCATAAACAACTACATTGGACTGGCCATGTTACCCGCATGGACTACGGTAGACTACCAAAGCAGCTACTTTACAGTCACCTAATGAATGGTAAACGTAACGCTCGTGGACAAATGAAAAGGTATAAGGATAGTCTTAAGACAAACCTGAAAAGAGCCAAATCGACCCCCTCACTTGGGAGACGATTACTCCACACCGTAACGCTTGGAGGATCACCACATGAGAAGGTGACAATACTTTCAAATTAGCCCGACTGCATACTGAGGTAGACCAGTGCCAGCACCGGAAAGACACTGCCGCCGTCCCAACCCGCACTAGATGTAGCCCTCCACACGTGCAACATCTGTGGACGACCCTGCCGATTCCGTATCAGCCTCTCCTCAAAGCTCACCAACGAAGGTGACATCCTTAATAACGCATATCATTGTATCATAGCTGGATGATCGTCATACTCGATTCTGAGTGACAGCAAAGTAGAAGTATAGTAGATTTGCAGTATGTAAGAACAAACTGTTTACTGTGAAATTAATCAAATGAGTGAATAGAAAAAAAGGTTAAGACCTAACTGAGATAAACAGTTAGGAGAAACAAATGTTTCAGTATTTTATAGATGAAAAAGTAGTGTCTGAAATATATGGGACAGCATTGTTCACCTTTGGGATTCCTGCTGTTGCCAGCCAAATGGTCTCAACAGACATGGTTCAGGTTTAATTAGATCAACTTCAATTATTATTTAAGTTAAGTTAGCAACAAGCACCATAGGTAATTATGGCTCAGGCAGAACAAGTCCAATGTTATGTTAAGGTTTGCCTACTAAAATCAGTCTGTCACAAGATGTAACACTTCTCTCCTTTCTGCCCAACCACCAGCTGGAGCTTGTTTACTTCCCGGCCTCCCATCTGACACATGCACAGCAGTACTCTTGGAGCAACACCATCCGTTGCTTGGGCACACTTATCTCCCGCAGTGCACATAAGCTACTTCTCTTGTCCAATACTTGGATTTGTAGCATTCTAGCTGTAAGTTATATTATGGGTTCTAAGATCTTTGACAGTCAAGTTCAAGTGAAAAATACAAAATGGATATGTTTGGATGGATTGAATACAGCTTAAGTCAATAATATCTTCAGAATTAGGATTTGGTGTTTAAATATACAGTATGTAATTTAGAAAATGGAAGAACAGTACTGACTGTAGGTTGCTGTTGAGCAAGCTACTGGGTTATGTGTATTTTAAAGAATTTCGACAAATTTCTTAAACTGTATATTAACAGAACTTGCTCTTTGTATAAAGTAATCAAAATCTAACTTTAAACAATCAAAATTAGAAAAGTTGTATAGAACATTAGATTAGTTATCAAATTGTACTGATCTAAGTTATGATTGCACTCAAGCTAACCAAACCAAGAGCATTTCCAAAACTTACAATTTTCACTCTTCTCAAAGTGAAGAGAAACACACAACAGTAGAATAACACTATTATTTGTTGTCCCACAGATGGTGATCCTGGTGGTAGTGGGGATGGAGGCTCACTACCATTACCTCCCTTCTGAGTACATTGTCTTCACCCTCCTCTTCCTACAAGGGCTTCTTGAAGGGGCTGCCTTCCGCTCTACAATATTCAACATGCATAAAAAGGTACGTATGTAAAATATATTCAGGAGGACCGGGTTCCTTGGTCATCAGGAATTGGGGTAAATATCTAGAGGGACTACATTTTTTAGTAATGGTTTATTTTCCTTTGATTTTTTGCTGAAACACTTTTGCCGAATCATATAAGTAGTGTAAATTCTGGCTCCCCAACCATCCAGACACACTGGTGAACGGGCAAGCATTAATTTCACACCCTTTGAATACTTAACCTTAGCTTACACCACAAATAATTTATTTATTATCTTTACTGCAGAAAATTTTATATTTTTCATTGTACAGTACAGTATTTTCAGAGTTACCATTGTCTGGCTTATACTGAATTACTTTTATGCTCAATTTAGATAACCTTGTTAACTCTTGCTTCCTACATTAAACTAAGTTATGTTTAATTCTGTGTTCTTTCAGGCTATTGATAAGGAGCGAGAGTTCTGTCTGGGAATTTTCCCGGTATCTTTGTTTCTTCCGGCAATGTTAGCCGGCTTCACGTCCATTCCAATTCATGATGTGCTCTGTCAGAACCACCTGTACCGGCAGTGATAATGACCAAATGTTAGTTACAATGTTCAGATACGACTTGCTCATTGCCATTACTTGGTAACAATACCCAACATTATCATGCTGAGCATCAACTGTGCTGCCACTAAAGGTGTTCCCGTGTGGCTCTTCATTAGCATTATCCCTGTGCTTGTACTGGCAGTACTTTTAAGTTTGATATGTCTCATGCAGTCTTAAAACAGATTTTTTACTGTTACCTTTAGATACAGTACAGCAAAATTCAAAAGTCTGTGCCACAAAATATTAACACCCCATTTTCAAGCAGGTCACTTGTCCACACAGCCATGAACATTATTATGTAAGAATTATATTTACTGATAAATTCTTCCGTGTCTTTGAAGTTGTGATCTCTGAGTTCTGTTACATTGTTAAATGTATACATAAGTTTATGTAAAGTATTCTAAGATGTATATTTTTAGACTTACAGTATGTAGTTCAAATATACAAAAATATATCAAAGTTATTTTATTGTTTCGATAAAACCCACAGTTTCCTGAAGAGTATAAGGCATGTCAATTCATCACCATCAACCTTCCAAGTTTAGGTAAGCTGTGATTACCTGATGACAGCCGTCCAGGCTATATGATGTCTTGCAACCTCTCTGGTCAGGTGATTATCCCTGAGATAATTTCTCACAACTCTTCCCCGTGTAATTTTTCGCCTACTCTTAACTTTTCATCCTTTCATAGTCAAATTAATGCATTACTTGGTGTTTCGCCCATCTCTTCAGGTGCCTGAGCAGTACGTGCCCTGCCTAGACACATGCACTGTGCCCTTGTAGCCTGAAACATGGGTCCGTATGCAAGGGCATGGCAGTACTGTATTGTTTAGTCCCCTTCATTCACCCAACCAGGTATCCTTGAGGATAGACAACATAATTTACTGTCTCTCCTCAAGCCAAACATGCCCCAACAAGGGACCATACAGTACATGTTAGCTAACAAAATTATTGCAAAGTTTCCTATTTATGGCTTAGACCTGTTAAAGCTGCGTGGTCAGGGTTATGATGGTGCAGTAAATATTATATCCAGCAAGTAAGGGAGTTGCCACCATCATTAACCCCTCCACTATGGGCATACCACTTTTAATATTTAATTTAGCTAACACCAGATGATTTTATTCAGCATACAGTAGAGAGAACCCCACCATACACAAGGTGTTAGTAGACTATTTCCCCTAGTAAACTGTCACCTATTGTAGACTATCTTATCTAAAGAATTGTGTCCACATGCACCATACATTCACTGCAATTCACATGTACTTAATCTTGTTGTAGTTAATGCAAGTCAGTTTGAGCACACGTCATTCTTGGGTTTGATAAACCGTGCCTGAAGATCATCAATAACAGGTTCATTGGTCTGACACTCAGTAATATAGTCATAAACAGAAGAGGATATGTAATTAATGAGAGTATTCAACCTGTTCGGGCTGAGTGAAGTAATGGCTGTCAGGAAGTTCTTGAAGGTTTGGCACCAGTGGTACCACCCCTTGCCCCCCAGCCCAGCGGAAGCCCGTGTTATCTGAGCTCTACAATTAAACAAGGTATTAAATGGTCTTGCCTTAGTGAATGTTTATAAAAACATAAACGTAGACATAAATAGTGGGATCACTGGCTTTGCTCGAGCTCATGCAAGGAGGATAGAATTAGGATAGATAGTTGGAATGAACGTGACCAAGCGGTTAGGGCGCCGATTAGTGGCGAAGAGGATTAAAGTAAAAGTAAATAAAATAGCATCAGCCAGCATTTGATTTCTTCATATTAGCAATGTAACTAATCCGAAATAAAGCTTATTCCATTGTTTTGATTTTGTGTAAAATTTTGTAACTAACCTTGACTTGTGTTAATTTTGGTCACAGCTCAAGGTTGAAGAAGCTGCAAGTTCAGATTTATGTTTTCAGCCACCAGCTGCAACTCTATTAATAAACCGTTTATTACAATTATTAGATACATTCAGGAGCCGGTGCATGACCAGTACAGTACAGTACAGGTCAAAATGCATAACAGACGCGATCGATCGCCCAAGCAGCTAACGAACCAGTCTGTGGTGAAGAGAATAAAAGTAAAAAGTATTACAAATAGACTAACTTTCTACAATACTTCCCTTTAGTACTGTCACCCCGTCTGGTCCCCGAGATATGATAGGGACTGTCAGTTGATTCAAAATGTCCAAAGGAGAGCCACCAGACTGTTGCCTGCACTACAGCACCTTAGCTACCCTGAGAGATTAGAGCGCCTGAACTTGCCTATCTTATACTACAGACGGGCAAGGGGCGACCTAATTGAGGTGTATAAACATCTCAAGGGGCACTACTCAGTCGAGTGCCCTTACCTGGAGCTGGCGGGTGCTCTCTCCACAAGGCCTCACAGCTCAAAATTGAAGAAGCTGCAAGCCCAGAAAATTGTGAGTGGTAACTTTTTCGGAGTGAGAGTTGTAAACTCTTGGAACAATCTACCAGAAAGTGTTGTGACGACACCGAGTGTGAGCTCTTTCAAGACCAGACTTGACCAACACTGGAGCGGGTTCAGGTACAGTCATGAGCCGGTACATACCCAGTACTGTATCATTATTATTATTATTATTTTTATTTTATCTTCACCACTGATCGGCTCGTTTGCCGCTTGGGCGATCGGTCACGTCTCTGAGCAGTTTTCCTTTTCATTTATCCTCTTCACCAAAAGATCGGCTCGCTAGCCGCCCGGGCGATCGGTCACGTCTCAGTCACGCACTGTTGGCAAATACTGGGCATGCACCGGCTCCTGAATGTACCTGAACCCGCTCCAGTGTTGGTCAAGTCTTGTCTTGAAAGAGCTCACACTCGGTGCCGTCACAACACTCTCTGGTAGGTTGTTCCAAGAGTTTACAACTCTCACTCCGAAAAAGTCTGCCTTCACAGTTTTCTGGAATTGCGGCTTCTTCAATCTTGAGCTGTGACCCCTTGTGGGGCGAGCGTCTGCCAGCTCCAAGTAAGGACACTCGACTGAGTAGTGCCCCCTGAGATGCTTATGTAACGACCACGGTCATACACGTCAGTTAGCGCCAAAATCAAATGATTCATATTTCGCCCGATAGCCCACAAAACATGTAACTCTGCTTTCGTTTGAGTCCTCCATCTGAGGAGTCAGTTTTCTCATCACTTCAAGACACCTCAGTCCTCCGTTATCCCATTTTCTCTGACTTACAGAAACCAACCTCTCTATGAAATGAATTTGAATGTGAGAGAGAACACCCTTGTTTTGAGTCAACTTAGATATGTCTGTTTACAGTTGGAACATTCAAGATCCATTGTGAGTGGTGTTGAACGCTTCAACTGTCCTTATTGTTAGTAAAATGTGTCAAGTAAGTGAGAGTCGAGTTTGCCAGCTAGAGTGGTGTATTTTATGTCGTCCGTGGGGATGCCCATGAGTTTGTGGGGTTCAAGATGTTTGGTTCGCACTCAAGATGGGATGGAGAAAGGAAACTCACAATGTGCTCTCTATATACATGTTGTATTGGATGTACAATGCAGCTTGGTGCTGGGAAGGCAGCATGGTTACAAGCGTGATGTAGAGAGAGCTGGTTGGTGAGGACGCTCAGAGAAGGACAGCTTGTGGGTCGCCATGCTCGCCGGCGGGAGAGAGGACCGCCAGGCAGGAGGAGGAGGAGCGAGGGCCGCCAGGCAGCGGCGGAGGAGGAGGTGTTGTTGGCTGCGGCTGTAGGTAGAAAGAGGCAGATCACCACGAGGTCAGGTCTTAAATAGCGGGGATAGGCGTGGCTTAGTAGTTGACCCCCGCTCCGTGATGTATGGCGGCGCTGGTTGACCTCGACCACGAGGCATACACTGGGGAATTGGTGGGGTCGGCTACTCAGCGACAAACAGCGTTTGTAGGGGAGAAATCCACTACAAGTTTCTGATCGCTACTGAAGTTATATTATTTTGTCGCCCCGACATCAGAGAATCTGATGTTTATAGTTTAGTTAGTGTCAGTTGTCTATTTAAGAAAGTCATTAATCTCCTGAACAGTTCCTGTCAAACTCAAAATTCTCCAAGACTTAACGGCTGTTTGACCTGGGATGTGGTTTGTGGTCAGGCCAATAGAGTTGCGAACGCATATATAACTCCATTTCACCTCTTTCCTGACAAACTCAATCTCTGATTCATCATAAATATAGATGTAGAAAATTATCCTGATCTGTGACACTGACGGTCACAGCCAGGTGTCCAACGACTACTTTGAATAGAGGGTCTATTGTTAGTAAAATTAGTCTTTCTAGTAGGGATATTGTGGGATTATGAGATATTGGTTCACACTTAGGATGGGATGGAGAAAGGAAACTCACAATGTGCTCACTGTATACATATTGTATTGGATGTACAATGCAGCTTGTTGCTGGGTAGGTAGCATGGTAAAAAGCGTTGAATAGAGAGAGCTGGGTGGTGAGGGTGCCCAGAGAAGGGACACGCGGCTTGAGGGATGTCAAGGTCGCTGGCGGGAGCGGCAGCCGCCAGGCTGGCGCGGAGGAGGAGGTGTTGCTTGCTGGTGGCACTGTGTAGAAAGAGAGGCTGGTCACAGCGGTGTCAGGCCTTATAAGGCTGGGGTATGTAGATATATGAGACGAATATGCTGTAATATGTAACTGTACTATTTACCATTATTGATTCAGGTCTCTGTATTATATGTTATAATCATACCCCCTTTTGTCACTGAGTGTAGTTCATGTTTTAGGCACATGTGCGCTGTACGCGCATGCGCAGACAGAGATACCCAGAGAGATTCCAAGACAGGACGCTGTTTACCCTGTCTTAACTCCTTTTGTGTGTTTGTCCCAGAAATAGAACTTACGAACTTGACACCAGTGTGTTTCCTTTACCCCTGATTGGAAGCATCATCTGAGTCTCCCACAGGGTAGGCATAGGTAGATAGTTGACCCCCACTCCTTGGGCGGCGCTGGAGGCGTAGGCTGGGGAATTCGAGAAGGGTCGGTGCTTGTAGGGGAGGAATCCACTACAATACTCCCCTTCCCCTCTGGGCGCGGCGGGAGGCTGGAGGTTGGCAGGGTTGCGTGCCACATGTGAGGCAGAACGGGTGGTGCATGCCACATGTGAGACATAACGGCGAGGGCGTGGATGAGCCGGCCGCTAGGGGGGACAACTCTGTCTAGATACACGAGATCTGTGGGAGAAAAGAGGGAGAAGGAGGGTTGTGGAGGCGATGAATATTGTGCTTCCCTCGCAATGTCATGGTCACGTTGACTGCTGATCTATTTAACTAATGATTCTTATTAAACTCCACGACCGCAAAACATGAGGGAGTTAGCGACCCCTGAGAAGACGTGTTTTTTTCCCCATAGACGTTACACTTGTGTTCCCTCCCAGAGTCCCGCCTTTGTGAAGACAGTTATCAATGCATTGTTATTCCACTTTCTCCTGGGAAGCTCAATCTTGAATTAGTCTGTGTAATCAACTCAAGTAATTAGCCAGACC